GGGGGGGGGGGGGGAGGGGGAAACGCATGTAAGAACAAAATAAAAATAAAAATAAAAAATAAACGAAGACTAAACGTCGGATGCGTAAGGCAAAGAGGCATCATGCACCACACACACACACACACACACACACACAAAAAAAAAAAAAAAGACAGATCTCGGGACAAAACGGAAAACAGGTGCGCAATCAAAACTTAAAATAAAATAAACCGCTTTTTTTGTTGTTGTTGTTGTTTTGTTTGTTTGTGTGCGTTTTTTAATTAACCCCTTCCCCTTCCGTCCCATTCCGGGAAAAATGGCACGCACAAAACACACACAAACCGCTCGAGAAATGCACAAAAAAAAAATATATATTTGGAACGGAATGACAAAACAAAAATGTCGCAGAAAAGAAAGTGAGAGAAAAAAAAAAAAAGGAGCACCGCAGCGCCAAAAATGAAACAAAAAAAAAAATTTGAGAGAAAAAAAAACAGAACTCGCACGACAACGAAAAAAAGAAGGGGACTTTTTATGCACAAACTCCCCAGCGTACAATAAAAAAATAAAAAAAAATAGTAAAAAATAATAAAAATAAAAACTCCGAATCTGCGCCACTGCAGGGGCCCTTTTCTTCTCTATCCCCCTCCCCACAGACACACACAGAAAAAAAAAAAAAAAAACGCTGCAGCGAGACACGGCAGTTTGGCTCTTTACGCCCGACACACGCAGACACGTTTCAGAGAGGAATTATCGCACACGCAAGGCAAAAATAAATAAGTTCCTAATGGCACATCCTCATGGTAGTTGGCCTCTTTTTAACGTCAAAAAGTGGCGGTTCCTGTTGCCCCTCAACCCCAAGACTCCTCCGCGTAGATGGTAACAGAAGGGAATTGGTAAAAAGACAAAAAATAAATAAATAAATAATGTCCGTCTACTGCCCTTCAACAGGGTATCATAAATTACAACAATCAATTACCAGATATATATATATATTTATTTATTTATTTATTTAAAAATAAAAAGGTTAAAACAAGAGAAAATATTATCCCACTCGTCACATCAACTCGCATATTCCTTCCGCAATCCTATCATACAATCGCCTCCCCCTTCCCTCAAATATCCTACGCTCAATATTTCCCATGGCTCAATACACCGTTAAAAATGCATGGACTCAATCCCCGCCTGCATCACCTCAACGTGCTGGAATAATGAGGAATGAGCACTGCAGCTTTTCATCTACATTCATCACGGCCGCGTCATTGTCAAACTCGCCGCAGTAATTCGGAGCCGAAAAAATCGTCACTAGCTGCCGGTTGGCAAAGAACCCGTACCCATGCTCCATCACCTGGTGCGCACGCACCACCAGGTCCATGTCCACCATGTCTAGGAAGTCGCTCACAATGTCCTCGCCGAACAGGTAGCTCACGCCCCGGTCGCTCTCCAGGAAGCCCCTCACCTCGTCCTCAGGGTCAGCCCAGAGAAGGTCGCAAAGGATGCCCTTGTCCGGCACATCACACGGACGCTCTATTTCGTTCACGGTGGCAAGCGAAGTCATGTCAGGACTCAGTCCGCCGTGCATGCAGATGATCTTCTCGCTCACAACGCAGCACACGGGCATCGTGTTGAACACATCCGTGAAGGCCTTGAACAGCTTGATGTTGTACCGGCGCTTCACGTCGTCGAAGAAGCCGTACATCTTGTTGATGCTGGCGCATTCGTGGTTGCCGCGCAGCAAAAAGAAGTTCTCCGGGTACACAATCTTGTAGCAGTACAAGAGGGTGATGGTCTCCACGCTGTGCTTGCCGCGATCCACATAGTCGCCAAGGAACAGGTAGTTCGAGTACGGCGGAAACCCACACTTCTCAAATATGCGCATCAGGTCGTAGTACTGCCCGTGGGTGTCGCCGCAGATGCGCACCGGTGGCCTGATTTCCAGCAGCATTGGCTGCGACATAAACACGTCGCGGACAGAATCAAGAACGCTGCGTATGTCCTCCTCACGGATGAGGATCTGCTGCTGCGTCGCGCTTTTTGTCAGCGTCAGCATCTTTTCAAGGAGGTTGTGCGCTAGAGACATACTGCTCAATTGAACACCAATGCGCCGACGTTTCTTGTCACCTTCCCTCCCGTCTCAGACCTCCTTTCTTACGCTAATCCTTGTTGATGTTCCCCCCACAGAGCGTCCAATAAAACACTGCTCCCCCCAGAGATCCAATCAAGAGAAAGAGAAGAGAGTATGAGCAGCAGGAGGGCTGGTGTTCAAAGCGGTAGAAAGGGCGAAGTACTCCTCACGTGTAGTGTGGTGCAGTGATGGGTACAACGACAAAGATATGTTGCTGCCAGAAGGATTGTAGTATAAAAACACAAAAAAAAAGAAAAACAGTCAGAGTTCCGCGTGTGTTTCCCCGTTGCCGCCGCTCACCCCTATAAGAAATCAAAAGCATCACGCAAGCGGCCTAAATAATAACACAGAATGTAAAAAGGTGGGCAGAACGTTAAAAAAAAAAAAAAAAAAAAAAAAATATCCAAACATCACATAAGTTCGAAGGTGTCAATCAGACTCGTTGGTTTCCAACTCTTTTGTCCTCATGTTACATATACAACGATTTTGCATTTGCGCTGATGATTTCATACAGTACCTCCAATTTCCCCGCTGTGTCCCAAAAGCTCATGCACCCTGGCACGCACACCCACACAAGAAATAATAAAAAAATGTCAACAATGGCGCAACAAAAGTTGAGGTAGTGCGTCACGCAAAGAAAATAAATGAAATAGAGAAGCGAGCAGCACAAATGTTACTGAATAACGCATACCATCATACAATAAAACCACGTAAAACAACAACCAAGGAAAGAAAAAAAATAGTAATGGAGAAACAGGGTGTCCCACTTTCAGTTCACACTTCCTATTGCTGTTACTGAAGCTCAGGAGAAGTGGCGGGGGAAGTTCCAATAAAACGACACAACATTTCCGCGCAATCCCCGCCTGCATCACCTCAACGTGCTGGAATAATGAGGAATGAGCACTGCAGCTTTTCATCTACATTCATCACGGCCGCGTCATTGTCGAACTCGCCGCAGTAATTCGGAGCCGAAAAAATCGTCACTAGCTGCCGGTTGGCAAAGAACCCGTACCCACGCTCCATCACCTGGTGCGCACGCACCACCAGGTCCATGTCCACCATGTCTAGGAAGTCGCTCACAATGTCCTCGCCGAACAGGTAGCTCACGCCCCGGTCGCTCTCCAGGAAGCCCCTCACCTCGTCCTCAGGGTCAGCCCAGAGAAGGTCGCAAAGGATGCCCTTGTCCGGCACATCACACGGACGCTCTATTTCGTTCACGGTGGCAAGCGAAGTCATGTCAGGACTCAGTCCGCCGTGCATGCAGATGATCTTCTCGCTCACAACGCAGCACACGGGCATCGTGTTGAACACATCCGTGAAGGCCTTGAACAGCTTGATGTTGTACCGGCGCTTCACGTCGTCGAAGAAGCCGTACATCTTGTTGATGCTGGCGCATTCGTGGTTGCCGCGCAGCAAAAAGAAGTTCTCCGGGTACACAATCTTGTAGCAGTACAAGAGGGTGATGGTCTCCACGCTGTGCTTGCCGCGATCCACATAGTCGCCAAGGAACAGGTAGTTCGAGTACGGCGGAAACCCACACTTCTCAAATATGCGCATCAGGTCGTAGTACTGCCCGTGGGTGTCGCCGCAGATGCGCACCGGTGGCCTGATTTCCAGCAGCATTGGCTGCGACATAAATACGTCGCGGACAGAATCAAGAACGCTGCGTATGTCCTCCTCACGGATGAGGATCTGCCGCTGCGTCGCGCTTTTTGTCAGCGTCAGCATCTTTTCAAGGAGGTTGTGCACTAGAGACATACTGCTCAATTGAACACCAATGCGCCGACGTTTCTTGTCACCTTCCCTCCCGTCTCAGACCTCCTTTCTTACGCTAATCCTTGTTGATGTTCCCCCCACAGAGCGTCCAATAAAACACTGCTCCCCCCAGAGATCCAATCAAGAGAAAGAGAAGAGAGTATGAGCAGCAGGAGGGCTGGTGTTCAAAGCGGTTCTCGTAGGCACTCGCTGATCTTGAACAGAGAATCATATTGATTATCACAGAATGCATGAACCTAACCTCCTCATTGGGGTGTTGTGGGGAAAAAAAAAAGTGGTGGCTAGTGGTGCAGCTAGCACTCTTCTTAATGCATTAATCATACGTCTCCTGCTGGTAGTACTCATTTGGCGCCTCACTTGCATACACGTTGCCGCCAGTGATAAATGATGCCGCAACGACGAAGTAACGGACTTTGTTGTAGAGGGAGTGCCAGAGCCGTGTTGACCACGGCAGATACGCAGTCTGCCTAATCGCATGGGCAGCGTGGATTTCTGAACCCGAAATTGATGGCTCCATGGAGATGTCGACGGCATTTGCCCGACGTTCCTCCTCCTGTCCCTCCTCAAAGGGTTCTCTTGTGCTGGCCAATCTATGCCGCAACAATTCAACTCGCTCGCGTAAAAGCTGCCGACGGCTTAACATCTCCCTCTCTTGTGTAATCTTTTGCACTCTTTGCTCACGCGACATGTCCCTTTCCTGCTTCTCAATGGCGCCCGTCATTGCGTACATCACATTCAGTGGAATGATAACCGCATCACCACAACCCTCACCACAGCTATCCTCGCTGTCGGTGGATGAAAGCAAGGTGCTGTCATGCTCCACAGCTATCGACGTTTCCAAATTTACTCGTGGCAGTACTGACATGAAGCTCCTCTACCGTCTTGGTGTGTAAAGAAATAAGACGGGCCACTCAGACACACAGACAAAAAAAAAAAAAAAATTGGCGGCAGGAGAAATGTCAGAATAAGTGCGGGTCATATTGCAAAGAAAGCAAACCAACAACAGCAAATTAAGATGAGTGAGTGGGCAAAAATGGTCTCCGCAGGGAAGTAAAGCAAAACTTATGTATATATGCATTCATTTAACAATAAATCTGATGCTGTTTGGAATTTTTCACTCGATATCGCAGCCACAATCAGTGCGCGTCACCCTCTCTTTTTTACTCATTGCGCAGTCCGTGCAATAACGAGTCCACATGTGCCAATCCAACGCCATTCCGCATGCACCCCGTTACATCTATCCGACTTCCGATTGAGGAGCGGCATAACGCCACGGCACGCAGGAGGATGTTTGCCAGCAGGTTCGCGTCCACATCCCCACGGCGAAGAGGAATGAAATGAAGTGGGTCAGCGATGTTGTTGTTCTTTGCGATTGCCACGCGCTCGTTAAAACTTGGGTGTACAATGTCGGTTACTCGAAACAACGTGAAGCGCATTGGTCCGCCATGCTGAAGACACAGCGCGGAAGGAGAGCCGTCGTCGTCAATTAGAAGATGTTCCTGCCGTCGCGTGGCCTTGAGATAGCCGACGCGGTACAAAAACAGCGTGCGGTACCATTGCAGCGCCGAAGCCCACGAGGATCTGTTGAAGAGCGGTACAAATGCAACGAGGTGGGCGTCCACGAGACTACATGCATCGATCGTGTGGCGCAGCCCTTCAACATCCACCTTGCCACAGCCAGGAATATTGCTCTTTGCCCACGGCCTCCACCAGCTGCTGCACTTTGCGGATGCCATGTACACAACAATGGATGCCTGCCGCACCGCATGCTGCACTGCCTGTGGGGACGTTACATCGCCTTTCAGTATTTCCAACTGCAACGGTACAGCAATGTTTCCCCTCTTCGTGCTGGACGTGTAACGCAAAAAGCAGCCGCCTTCCATCAGTTCCATGTTGTGTTCTTCCACAATCTCCGTACCCTTTGTTACATTGCGCTGCAGACGCGCAAGGAGAGTGTCCTTTGCCTTCTCAAGATCCCGCGCAAGAACCGTCACGCTAATGCCACGCCGAAGACACTGATCCGCAACAAACCGCGCAAAGAAACCGGTGCCGCCGATGAGCGTTACCGTCGAAAATGCAGCTGGTGTGTCAAGTTCCCTGGAAACGTCCATTGTGTTTTGCCGCGGGAAAAAAATGTAGTGCCGCGCCGACTCCTGCATTGTCGCACAGCCTGCAGCATCCATATCAGGAGAAGCAGCCGCCCGGCCCCGCTCAAGGTTGCATTCGTGTCTGGTGCTCTCCTCCCGCATGACACCGTGGAACGGTGACGCGACGCTCCGCAGCACGCGTGACTGGACCCATTCCCCGAGGTCATACCTCGCCATCGACGGCTCCCCTCCCCGGCGACACGGCACCGACACCCATAAAACAGCAGAGCAGCACACAGCACAGACAAAGAAAGAAAAAAAAGAAAACAGAGGGGAGGAATGGGGCAGTGTATACTTATACTTATATACATTTATATGCGTATGTGTTTTTGTGTGTCTGCACACACGTGTCTGTCGGCATCTCGTGAGGTGCCATTCCGTCCACACTTCCCGAAATTCCAAAATAAACGGAGGAAAAAACTTTTAATTCGGCAAAAAAAAAAACTGCAAAAAACGCGAAATATAGCCCTGATCAGCCGTCTTTTTGTTGTTGTTGTTTTTTGTATCTCAGCGAGAAAAAAAAAATCATTTTTTATGCGTGCGCTGTCGTCGGCGGTCCATGCATGGATGCTTGCAGCATTTTTCTGCATCGGCTTCCCTCTGGTTCCGCGGCAACAAGCTGCTCGATAAGGTCTGGGCGCTCCACAATGCCCGCACCCTTGGCGCACGCTACCCGCACCAAGTCACTCTTGTGTCCCTTGTATACCTCGAAAACATCCTCGACGAAGCGCTCATAGCTCAGCAGCGCAAGATAAATGATGGTGTACGCCAACTGGCCAAGAATGCGATTTGAGCTCAGCTGATCTTCAGAGATGCGAATCACACGTTCCACTTCAGGGGCTCGAGCGGACGCCACCGTCAAGAACTTAAGCTCCTCCAGAAGTTCCCGTACTCCCTTTGTGGTGGTCTCCTTCGCCAGCGCGGCAAGAACGTCAACAGGCGTGTCAAACGGGTATGAAGTGCCCATGACGTCGTTGAAGCGCTGCACAAGCGGCTTGCCGCCACAAAGACGGGTATTCTGTGGGTAATTAACAGTGCAAAAAATAGGAACCTCTAATAAAATTTCCTCTTCATCACCCTCCTCAAGACGTGCCAGGCGGTGATCCACCTGCAAATCAAGTCGTGTATGAAACATGAGCAAAGACTTGGAGTAAATGGTGCGAAAAGCAGCCATGCGCAGCGGGGTTCCCTCCAGATGTTCGTTTCCGTCGCTCAACAGGAGCGGCCAACCAAAGACAAAGGGATTGGACTTCATCATCTTGTCTTCCAAAAGCCGAAAATGAGGAGAAGTTCCAAGGAATATGTTATGCTCGTGGGGGTAATCCAACTCGAGGGTCTTCGGGTCGCGTCGTCGCATGTCCTCGACAAAACGATCCTTGATGCTGACAGGGCTGAGTGTTCCGCTAAGTCTCTCCTTCGTAGCCGTCTCAATTGAGTTTTGTACGGACTCGTAGTAGGGGAGATGCTTCTTCATGTGCTGAGCATCTACTTCCAGAAATTCGCTGAAAATGCGTTTTAATGAATCCAGGGAAGGTCGAACCGCGTGCCACAGCAGTGGCGGAAAGTGCTCTGACAGCTGCACAAGCAGTTTCTCTGAAGGACTGTTGTGGTCCCAAAGCAACCGGCATGCGTGCTGCGGCTCATTCACGACGGGAGCATCCTCACGATCTGGAAATGCAAAGGCCTCACCAATGATGGTGTATTCAGCCTCTTCATTGCCAAGGCACAGCCGCCGGCGCAAAATGCTACTCATCCGCGCCGGGTCCCAGAGTTCCTTGTCAAAAATGAACCGCATCTTTCGCCACGCGAGTTCGTCGTATATTTTCACGTCGTATGAACTGGCCGTCTTGGACTCTTTGGCATCACTGCGCAGCTGCAAGACCCATGAGGGTGGCTGAGGGCAATTTGAATGGCAGCAACGTCTCGAGAGGCCGAAAGTCACCGGTAAGCCAACAACCTCTAGGCCGCCACAAAACCGCCACCTCCACATTCCCTTCGGTTTCTTTAATTTATTTCCCTTCTTTTAATTCCTCCCACCTCCCACCGCCTAATTTTCCCTTTAATTCCTAATTTCCGTTTGTGTGGGTATCGTCAATAGCCAGGAGCAAAGGGGGCACAAGAAATATTCGCACCTACTTTTCTTCAAACATTGTGCATTTTACCTTTCTCAAATTATTTGTTAGGGCCCATTTACTACTGTTTTCTTTCCTACTTCTTTCCTTACGGCATGTATCCTCTTTCATTCCTGAATTCATTATAAATTTTACACGACAATATCTTCAGATATATATATAGTATGCGCGTGTGTGTGAAAGATTTTTCCGCTGGAATGTGCTTACGCGTCGAATCCACTCACACGAGTAGGACGGCGCTGGCGCCATCTTCCTCCTGCGGCTCACGGTAGGCAACAGTCGGAAGCTGCGATTTCGAAATGGGCCGTGTCACCTCTGCCGTGAAGAGACGCGCGTACGTCTTCTCGTACCGCAGCGGCGCCTGATCCTCTGCAGTACTGCCGAATGCCGACACCATCAACGGCACCGTCGGAATAAAGTGCCTCTCCAGCGCCGTGAGCTCCCACAATGTGCTGTGCAATGCGTGGCACGCTTCAAGACTCGCCTCCTCCAAGAAAGGATCATTACCATCGAAAAGTGACGCTGTCAAACGTTGTGCCTCCTCTTTCGCAATCTTCCCCAATTTCTTTGGCTGTTCCGCTTCCCCAGTCTCTGCCGCGCCATCGGCTGCTTCCACCGCCTCCTTCGAGGAGCGATGAATCAAAGCGAGGCAATTGGGATGTCGTTGCAGCACCTTGCGGATGAATGGAAGAGCAAAATAAAGTACCGGTGCTGGTGAAAGCAGGGCCACACGCGCTACTTTCTTCACAAACGCCGCTGCAATGTATGAGGGGACACGCAAGGAACTCGTAGAGAGATCCAGCAGACGGAAAAGATCGTACCGGTGACGTGATGCAAATGCGTCCGGGGTGACAAGCGTGTAGAGCTGCTGGTAGTACTGGGGATATTCCAGGCCGTGGTCAAGCATGAGGAGGAAGATGCCGTGCAACGCCAGCACAGCAACAAGGCCACCACTAGAAAAGCAGCCGCTCAAGTGGTCGGCGACAACAAGCGGGTTGGTAAGGTGCGGCAAAATGACGTCGCCTATGCGATGCAGTATGTGCAGATGGAGAGCAGCAGCCGCAGCGTGGTGTAGACAAGGCAGCCACAGTGCGGTGAAGTAGTGCCGGTGGGCACGCTCGGAGAAGACGGAGAGAACAGATGTCATCAACGCCTTCCTCCGCTCGGCAGCGTTGGAATGCACATACGAATCGCTCGCCCTCAATTTAGATCGTTCCTTTTTCAGGAACCCCC